CACTTTAAAATTTCTCTAGTAAATTTCACCAGTATCCAACTAATTTCTAAAGCCAGTGACTTATTTTCAGTTGTCTTTGACCTTTCAATAGCATATTAAATACTTTTGACCTCTCATTATTTAATAAAATAACCGCCCCCTTGAGTCCTAGCATACTACGCTCTCCTGGTCCTTTTATTTACTGTCTACACTCCTTTCTCAAGTTTATTTCAAGTGCTTCCTCTGGGCTGTCTTGTCCACTGCCATGACTTCAACTACAGTTAATGTCTGTGGTTTTGTTTCCCAACACTCTTTTTCCAGTCCATATTACTTTCCTGATCTTTTTAGAGTCATATTCAGAAAAAGTAGCCATTAAGGTTTTGACATTAAAGATAGGTACATTACAAAAGCTATATATAGTAAGTACTTCCAGTAACCCATGCCTATCGAACATTTGTCCTTATATACCTATTATTTTTTAATTGTTAGTATTTACATGTGAATGTTACATTGTTTCCCAGAATCAAATCCCTCCAGAGAAGTGGAATTTTGGCTTTTTATATATCCTGTTTAAATGTATCTAATTACAATGCTGAGTAAAATTATTTTTAATTAATTGGTTTAGATTATTTATAATTGTATTGTGAGAAACATGACATACATTTTCACTTCGTTGTCTTTGTGGTAACAAAGCCTTTTGTTGTGTTTTGTGCTCTCAAATTAAGAAAAGCTATTATAGAGAACTTGCCATTTAATAAATTACATAAGACCAGATTAATCCATGTAGTTTAAGAGTATTTATGACTGTATTTGCGTACCATAACTCTACATAAACAGGAGTTATTTCCATTGTTTTAGAAGTATTTATTTGTTTAAAGATATTTATTAAAGTATCTTGCTTACATGACTATTCAAATTAAAAACTTCAAGTAGTTTTCTCTTTGTTGAGAAACTACATCTCAGTATGATCTTGACTCCTTTAGCTTATGTAGCTATGAGAATTTTTACATCCCATAAGCTTGTTTCCTTTTTATTATTTAAAAAAAAACTGGTGATTAACATGAAAAGAGAACTGAATTTGCTTTATAATCCTCTTAGGACCTTAGTTTCTTTACATTTAAAACAACAGATCATCTAAGGCTGTGGTTCTCAACCTTCTGGCCCTTTAAATACAGTTCCTCATGTTGTGACCCAACCATAAAATTATTTTCATTGCTACTTCATAACTGTAATGTTGCTACTGTTTTGAATTGTAAAGTAAATATCTGATATGCAGGATGGTCTTAGGCGACCCCTGTGAAAGGGTCATTCGACTGCCAAAGGCAGGGGTCCTCAAACTTTTTAAATAGGGGGCCAGTTCACTGTCCCTCAGACCGTTGGAGGGCCGGACTATAGTTTAAAAAAAAACTATGAACAAATTCCTATGCACACTGCACATATCTTATTTTGAAGTAAAAAAACAGAATGGGAACAAATACAATATTTGTATTTGCATGTGGCTTGCGGGCCGTAGTTTGAGGACCCCTGGCCAAAGGGGTCGCGACCCACAGGTTGAGAACCGCTGATTTAAGGGATCTTCTTGTACTAAAATGCTGTTTTAGGCTCCTTTGTGTTTATTTTTTAAGAATATTAATTTATCCATGTTAATTATAGAAATCAAGTGATAACCAAAGCATTGATTTGATTTTAAGTCCTATTGGGAGATGATTATGTTAAGAATAATAAAAGTGATTTAGCAGAGAGGAAGTTATAGTTAACTCATTTGGGTACATATTTAGAATATAGGCTTTACAGATTATATAGTTCAATAGAGGCCCTGGTGCACGAGATTTGGGCCTGCGCCCTCTTGCAGTACGGGAGCTCTCTGGGGATGTCCAACTGACTGATCGCTTAGGGGAGTGGGCCTAAGCTGGCAGTCAGACATCCTTAGTGCTGCTGCGGAGGCGGGAGAGGCTCCCGCCACCTCCGCTGCGCTCTCCAGCTGGGAGCCCAGCTTCTGGGCTTCTGGACTTCTGGCTGAGTGGCGCTCCCCCTGTGGGGGAACACTGACCACCAAGGGGCAGCTCCTGCGTTGAGCATCTGCCCCCTGGTGGTCAGTGCACATCATAGTGACCGGTCATTCCATTGTTCGGTCGATTTGCATATTACCCTTTTATTATATAGGATTTCCATTTCTTTTTAAATGGAGAAGTTACTTTGTTACTTTATTAGGGAAAATTAAATGGCAAGGTCCTTGACTAGTGCTTTTTATACTGTGACATATGACCTGGAAAAAAAAATCAATCTCTTTTGTAATGTGATGTTTAATCACGTAGGAAGAGCCTCTTTATATTGGAGAAAGATATTTTACCATATAGCAGAAACATGTCACAGGAAAAAACTTGGATTATTGGTCAGAAATAGGGTCTTGGGTTAGGTTTCCCCCATTGGTCTTAAGTAGAGTCTGGTGCTTGGTAGGCTCTCCATAAGTGTTTATTGGATGACGTTAGCCTGTTTCCAAAAGAAAATGAATTCAGAGTAGAGGAGGGCTGATGGCCATGGTCTCCACAGGCTCACTCAAATGCTTGCTCCCACTAATTTTGCTCTGCAGCAAATAACAGTGATGAGATGAACATAGTTGTTTTTGTAAGATCCTGGAAGTTTAACTTTAAACAAAAAAATGTTGTGTTTGGACCACCAATCCTGAGTATAAATTAAACCAAAGGGAGCTATATAGATGGAAAACACTTTCATCAAATTATTTTGAACAGTAGCTGGATTTTCTTTGCCTACTGCCTTGACATCATGATTCACTTGCACATAGAATTAAATCCAAAAAGCTAAGTCAACTATACTAGTATATTTAGATAAGGCTTGAATATGAAACACATATTGGATGTTTTCTCCTAGTACTTCATGAAAATGTTCTATATAAGTTTTAAAAATAAAAATAATTAATGTATTAGTATACTTTAGAATATTTAATTATGTTGCCACAATACGATCACACAAAAGAGTTTTTAAGGTTTATTTTTTTTTTCAGGAAAGAAGGGACTTGATAATATACAAAATGTCCACTGACTCTAGGGTAATTAGTAAAGTGAATTTAAGGAGGTTGAAGACAAAAAACTTACTACTCATAACATGTCACTGTTTATGTTGCTTAGTGACCGCAAACTAGCTGATCGGAAGCTTTTCCTGCGCACGCTCCGAAGGTAATTGCGGTATAGCATGACACTAATGACTCGAGCCTGAAATTGTTTTGAAACAATGTAGTAGAGAATCACATCCAGACAGGTACTGAGGTTCATCAAGAAGGTGGTAAAGGCTCCCCAGGGATTGTAACTGTTCTCATCCCCTTCCAACATCAGGAAAGCAAAGCAGATGTGGAAAGGCATGAAGCAGACGATCACCTGCACCAGGAGTGTGATGATGATCCTAATAGACTTCTCCTTGACTTTTGGTTTGAGCTTCGATGTCCTACCATGGAGGAGACTATGAATAATGACCAAGTAGCACCCAATCATGATGAACAGAGGAATCAAGAAAAAAAATATAAGTCGAGTGAAGTTCAATATGTTAATAGCTTTTAAGTGGACGATGTCAGAAATCTTGAGGCAGGTGGCAGGGCTGGAGGCTTTATCAGGGTCTTCATAGAGCAGGAGGAGTGGGATGGTGGTTATCAGGGTCATTATCCAGACTCCCACACATGCTAGCACGGCTTTGAATGTTTTTTTAAGTTCTTTGGCATATTTCGGCTGCACAATGGCCATGTATCTGTCAGCACTAATAAAAGCAAGAAGCCATAGGGCAATACTCGGATAAAACACTGTGAGTGCCCCGAGAATCTTGCAGAAGTGTTCGCCAAATGGCCATTCACCTTTTGCATAATAAAACATTCGAAAAGGTAAACTCATTATAAATATTAGGTCCAGCAATGCCACATTCATCATATAGATGGTTACAGTGGTTCTTTTCTTGGTGGAACAACTGAAAACCCATAAGGCAGTGACATTAACAAATACTCCAATTATGAAGATACAGCTGTAGAAGACAAGGGCTGCAATTTTGTATTCATCTGGGTATGAGCTATTAGAAGAGCCAGGTTGAGCTTGATTGTGAGAGGTGGTCATCTTATAGTTGGTGGCCGTGACACTTGGAAACTGTAAAACAGTTGCGAATATTAGGAGGAATAAAACCGTTGGCTGAAAAATAAATGTTAGCATTCTCATACTTAGCATGCAGTGGATTCTAATTTTGGGAGTACTTTATATTGTAGAGTCAATATATGTGTCTTAATATTTATTAATAAATACATTTCCTAGGTATTAATAACAATTTGTACTAACCGATGAAAGTGGTATGGAGTGTTGTAATTTGTACTGGCAAACTTACTCATTTCTCTTTCCCTGCTCACCTCTCTTCTCACTGAGGAATAAACTTTATGATTTTTTTTCCCCTAAAATTGGGTAGCTATTTCTCCTATAATAATCATTCCTTGATTAGGACTAATTGGGAAAAGGCCATTCTGAATGTTGAATCTTACAATTTACTTTGCCACTTTTTAATCATCTTCATTCTGTTTAAATATTTTGTAATCCAGATTAATAATATCAAATAATAAATTTTAACTCATTAAGTACAATTTTAATCTATAAAATATGTGTTAGAAAACTAATAAAGGAACCATATAACTAGTTAACTACTGAATATTCACAGTAATTCTCATTTGAGATCAGAAACTTTCCCTTTTTACTGGTATATCCCCATAGCCTATTGAGTAAGTTGTAGCTATTAAAAAAGTAAACATTTACTGAATTGATGGATGAGTGAAGGAAGGAACCCTTGATGAGGTGACCCTCAGAAACTACTCTCTAGTTTGTCAATGAAGACTTGTTTAGTTGGCCATTAAACCATGTTTTGTTTTTTTAAGTGGTAAATACTTCTTCATAGCATTAGGTTCTCTATAAATTTCATAGGTCTTGAGACAGCAGTGTGTTGTGCCATGGTGTACAGATTAAGAACTTTACTCTTAGAACAATAGATGAGCTAGTTTCTAATGTACAGTTGGGTGTGTCTAAAACTGAGCCTTCCAGATGGTGTTTACAAGTGTCTTTGAAGTAGATCTCACTGCTGTAGTGGTGCACAGAAAGCAACACCTTGAGAATGAGATATTGTTGGTATAGTAACTTTCATGTCCTCACTCTACAGAGATACAGAAGTGTACTATTTGTCAAATTAAATTTTAAAAGGGAATATTAAACACAAGTGGTTATTAATAAGACATCACTCAATAACTTTATGTGTATGCAAAAACTAATTCCCATCACCAAAAAAAAAAGTTCATTTCTAATGGAAAGGAGTTTAGTGATTGTATATATCACGGATCCCCCACAATGTGAAACTTCCATCACCCATGATGCAATGCTAACACCAGGGATTTTAAAAATAGAGTCGCTACAAAGAAATGGAACCTTGTGGCATCCCCTTGAAATACAGAGGTGTAAGAAGAGTTTCCTTCAAAAATGTCACTTTGCAGAGTGGGCTGTCTCTAAGTCAGCCCTGTTGTGGGGGTTAGCAGTGTGGTCGGTGGCATCATGGGCTGTTGATAATTTAAAAATAATTTGAACACTTGCTGATATGAGTTTGTTTTCCCCCTCCCCGCTCTCTTCCCTCCCTCCCTCCCTTTCTCCCTCCCTCCCTTTCTTCCTGATTACAGCTAGTTTGCCAGATATTTAGGTGAAATATGATTTTGGGATATATTTCTATATGTTTAAACACCTGTATTAATTAAAATATCCAAATATTGATGTGACTAGAATATTAATTTCTATCAGATGAGACGAGTACTACATAGAAAAACTAAATCTTCAGTGATTTTTTAAATAGTAGCAATTATAATGTAAATGAAATTTAGTATCCTTTTTTCTCTTTTAATACTTCACCCATCCTCATCCCCAAATTTTGTCATATACATTCTGTACTTACAAACCATTTTTTGAGTAACGCCCTCTCCAATGGGCTCAAACTGCTTGTATGTCACCAACACTTGTATTCATTTGCTTAAGGTTGAAAAATTAAGCATGATGCATGTGTTTTAAAGGCATTGCCAATATAGATTGTGCTCTGCACATGCAGATATATTTTTGGATAAATATTGAAAAGCAGTTGGCTTTTAAGTCAACATTTAAAAAGCTTTCAATTCCATGATTATCTATGGTCTTTCTTTTCTTAAAAGCCTTTAAAGTACACGTTGTGAAATATTGTAATTGAAACCAAGTGATGACTCTTAAATATACTTATGATTTATCATTTCAACATCTTCCTTAAGTTGAACAAAATTACATTTACTGTTAATGTAAAAATTGAAAATAAATGAAAAATCATATTAATAATTCAGGAAGATGACAGCATAACTCATTTCAAGGTTCTTCACCAGCACGGTTTCAGTAATGTATCATTAAAATAAAACAGTGATTTTGAAATTTAGTAAGTACAGCATTACTTCTGATAATCTACGATGAAGTTAATTAAATGCAACTTACCTCCTGTCCATCAAAAGGCTGTATTAGAGAGGAACATTTTTCGGTATATTCAGTTCTATAAAAGAAGGATCCTTGAGTTGCTTCTCTTTCTGGAATTGATATACTTAAAAAATGGTATGTTTCTTTGTTTTAGGCTCTTCTGTTGCTTTAAAACGTCTCAAATATAATTCTTGGTATAGGAGTTGTTACTCGTTGCTGCTTTTTCTCTTTCAGGAAGTACTCTCTGAAATAAGGCGTTTTCAGCTTTGACTGGATGTGGTTTTTCTCTTTCACAAATGATTTGTTTGTGAAGCTATGCTGAGCATAAACTTCCCTTGAAATGATACCATGCATTTAAGAGAGTTATACGAAAAGGGGAAAATATCTTCACTTTTTTGCTTTGATGCTTCAAGTCTGCATCATGTATTGAAAGAGTATGAGATTTGATGTTGAGTAGAATGGATTCATAGTATAGCTTTTTTATTTTCTAAGCTGTGTGACTTTGTCTGGTTACCTACCCACTCTGAGCCTTTGTTCCTACTTAGTTTCTATACAATTAAAATAGAGATAATACCCATTTGATAGGGTTGTGAGGATTTGAAACCAGAAAAATCCCAAGAGTTTAACATAATATCTGGCATTTAGGTACTCCTAAACAGAGTTAATCCTTTACCACAAAATAATAGAATATCCACTTTTTACTGTTAAAACATTTTTAAATGGTTAAATTGTGATACTTAGTTATTTACTTCTGCTTTCCATATACATAAATGCTTTATTTTTTTAAGTCCCCAGTGCTTTATATCCCCTTTCTGTCACGTAGAAGTCTAAAAATAGTTCCTTTTGCATAAATATCCCTGCAAACTGCTAAGAAGGGACTATGGCAGTCTTTAGTGGAGTAATTTACATGTTAGGAGTATTTTAACCTAAGCAGGGAAATGAAACCAGCGGAGAGGGAAGTGAGCCATCCAATCATTGCCTGCCTAGTTATATTACATAGCCATTTGGGACCTTCTGCGTGTGCTCTTCTTAAAAAAAGAAATCATCATTTCATTTGGTTGTCCTAAAATTTTAATTAACTTTATATTTGGTTATACTTGACTAGTCAACTTCTGTAAAGTACATGAACTAAAATGAACTGTATTTTTATTAAGACAGTTTGAACGCCCATGCTTTTTGTTTTTATTTTCCCCCTCAGACAAAATTATAGTCAGTCTTTGACTTACAAAATTTATTTAAATCTATGCCTTTGGTGATTACTTTGGATTGGGATAGCCTGTCAGAATAATGAATTTTAGAAGTGTAGGCAACAACCAAAGCAACTATTTCTTGTGCAGATGAAGATTTGAGCTCAGAGAAGGCCATGACTTGCTAAAGAACAGCCCACAGGCCCAGCTTCTTCAGATGCTGAGTTCCTCCCCTTTCTGCCCTCTTTGCTGTAATAAGTTCTCGTTATGAGGTGATTACATTGATTATTCACTAGACAGGATCTGTTCATTGCCAATTACATTAATCAGTTTTTTATGCATGGAGTTATATTTCATATGCAGTGTAGGTGAGTTTGATAGGAGATGGGAACCTTTTATCTATAGAGTCCAATCTTGTCATTACCTTAATTTCATTTAGCCTTTGACAAGGTTTCTGATATTAAGTATTGATTAGTATTCCCTGTGCTGCTAAAATCAAGAGATACATTGATGGCATATTGCGTTAAGACTTGAGTCTTTTGTCATCCACAGGGAGATTCTTTCCTCTGACCTGCCAGTCTCTCAGAGAAAGGAAGGAAGGGGCCAGATAGGAAGTCCCCACAGCACAGCTTGAGGTGGCTCGACTGCTACTCGTTTCCCACTTCCTTTCCATTGTAGCCATTTGGGACCTTCTGCATGTGCTCTTCTTGACCTTTCACATGCTCTTCCAACTGGTGACGTTCCTTACCACTCATTCCCTTCCACCTCTTGGCTTGGCCAGCTGCTACTGATCCTCAAAGTTTTAGTTTCAATGGTGCCTTTTCTAGGAAGTTTTCTCTGACCTTTGAAGCTGGGTTGCTTATTCACCCCTGTAAGGTTCCTTAGCATTTGGTGCTTATCTCTGTAGTGGAGTGTGTTTGTATTATTATTGCATATTTACTTGCCTTTTATCCTGTAGTAAATTGAGGTCCTTGAGGGCTGGCATTAATATATATGTATGTGTATTATCGATTTTTAATAAATATTGCTTGTATGTGTGACTGGGAAAGTAGGTGTGGAAATGGAGGGTGGAGAGAGTCATGGACAAATTACTGAGCCAGGTGTCAGCATCAGGGACACTTTGACTAGTTATATGAGGGACCTGCCAATCACAAATCAGATGTAGAGACTTAGGCAAGGGGAACAAGGACTGAAACCTTTCTCTCCTTCTCTTCATGCCCCTGTAGCACTTATTCTCTGTGTTCCTGGCTCTTCACAATAATTATTTTGTTGGAAAAGAATTACAGTGAAAAAGATCTTCCCCAAACTGGCAGCAAGTAAACAGTGGATCAAGAATGAAACTTTTGTAGTGTCTATTTTGCTTCTTTAATACTTGAACCTCATTAATTTTTATTCAAATGGAAGAACTTAACTCATTTAGGGATCATTCATGAAGCTTTAATTTCCTCACTTATTTGGAATCTAGTGAAAGAGAAAATTTTCACCTTGCAAAAGAGGGATCTTTCATATTATGGGAGGCTACAGAGTTCCCTTTCCTTCATTCTATGAAATAACCTGTTTTAGCTCTATTTTGAATTTTGGTTTAGATGTTAAAAGCCCT